GTGAACATGGAGTTAACTTTGCTGTTGCTGGAGCTACTGCACTTGATTCGAAATTTTTTTATGATCAAGGCATTGGGCAAGCTCTTTGGACAAACCACTCCTTAACCACTCAGTTGGGCTGGTTCAAGCACCTCAAGTCAACCATGTGCACAACTAAACAAGGTAACAAATATGGACAACGAGTCTTAGAGTCCATGCTTATTATTTTAAATGATTTCACGTGTTGTTTTTATTTATTTTTATTTTTTTGGCATAATAATCGACTTAAGGTTTTTTCCATTAAGTTGTTTTTGACAAATTTTCATCATTTACTTACTCTTCCTTTCATTTCCCCAAGTCTATCTTTACCAGTTATAATGCATGTTCAGCCATATTTATACGTGCTTTAGCTTTTGTGTAATGCAGAATGCGATAGGTACTTCAAGAGATCGTTGTTTCTATTGGGAGAAATTGGTGGTAATGACTATAATTATGCATTTTTCTTGGGTGTAACTGTTAATAAATTAAAAAGAATGGTGCCTTCCGTTGTGGGTTCGATCACTGCTGCCGCCAGAGTAAGTATTTGTGATATGGTGTTGCATTTGTTGCTTAATTAAAGCAACACATTAACGCTCGACCCGATTCATACACAACAATATTTCACCATACAAAACAATTTTTGCTTTAAAATGTTGTATTGTATAACTCTATAAATCATAAATTATTGTGTATGGAGAAAAAACTACTTCCCAATATATAACAATGTATCTTCATTGGTGTGTTTATTATAACATCTTACTTTTTATCCCTCCTATTATGAAACATTGTCATCATTTGAATTTTAGCCCTTGACATAAATGTATAATGAATTATGTTTTGAAGATGTTGATTGAAGAAGGTGCCAAGGAGTTGGTGGTGCCAGGGAATTTTCCTATTGGTTGCTTGGGGGCTTACCTAACGTTGTTTGAAACTAAAGACAAAACAGCTTATGATAAAAACGGTTGTTTGAAAGCACACAATGCTTTCTCAAAGTATCACAATGCTCAACTCAAGCTATCCTTGGAGAAATCAAGACATGAGTACCCTCAAGCTCGGATCATCTATGCTGACTACTATGGTGCTGCGAAGGCCTTATTCCACATACCACACCATCTTGGTAACATTTACAAGTCTTCAATCCATAACTATTACTTAGCTAAAGAAATAATGATACAATATCATAGCTAGTACGAAGTATGAGAAATCAAACATTTACAACTTTGGGACCTCTATAGGTCATTGTTTAATTAAAGTATGGTAGACCAACTGTTACTATTTAGCAACGTACACTTTTATATGTATACTTTCTTATATATATATA